AAAAAAAAAATTAAACAAATTGTTTCTTTTTTCCAGGTTTTCAGACAAAGTGTTTAGCCATCTTGAAACTATTTCTTGTAAGAATCACTGAAAACCTGTTTGAGTTATTCAGCTAGAAAAAGAACAGGTTAAAATTGTTTTGTGTCAGCCCCAACTAAGCAATGGCGGACCAAAAATAATTCAGCCTAAAGTAATGATGCCGACATTCATACTCTAGCTTCCATCTTCAAAGTCCATTCAAGAACCATCAAGAGAACCGTGAATAAGTTTTAAAAAGAAGGAACAGTAGGGAGGAAAAATGTATCAGGAGGTCACAGCAGGAAGAGGCATCATCATTTCAACTTTGAGCCAAAGAGATCAATTAGAAAAGCTCCAACTCAATCCATAAGACGTTTGGCACGTGAGAGAGAAGTTTCAGCCATGACATGCCAGTAAAAAGAAAAGGTCCGGTGAGAAAACGGATCCTTGTCTTACGCACCTTTTTATTTTTGTTTTATTTACTTAACTCATTTGCTCTCCCTATGCAAGCGGTTTGCTGCCATTATAGGTTTGGAATTATTCTAATATCCTTCTCAAATATGCCTTGCAGTTCCAGCATTTCTTTGGGATGTACTTTATCAAATTCTTTTGCATAATCTTTAAAGCATAGGTACACATCCATTTGCATGTGTATTTCTCTCTCTTTTTCTTTAAAGAACACACACCGTTCTTCTCCTATTTCAGGCTTGATTCTGCGACGCTTTCTGTTCATCAGAATTTGGATGATTAGTTTTTTCCATGGCTCAGAATTCGGATGATGAGTTTTTTTCATGGCTCAGAATTCAGATAATTAACTTTTTCCATAGCTCAGAATTCGGATGATGAGTTTTCCATGGCTCAGAATTCGGATGATGAGATTTTTCCATGGCTCAGAATTCGGATGATTAGTTTTGTTTTCCATGGCTCAGAATTCGGATGATGAGTTTTTTCCATGGCTCAGAATTCGGATGATGAGTTTTTTTCATGGCTCAGAATTCGGATCATTAAGTTTGGATAATTAACTTTTTCATGGCTCAGAATTCGGATGATGAGTTTTTTCCATAGCTCAGAATTCGGATGATGAGATTTTTCCACGGGTCAGAATTCGGATAATTAACTTTTTCCATGGCTCAGAATTCGGATGATGAGATTTTTCCATGGATCAGAATTCGGATAATTAACTTTTTCCATGGCTCAGAATTCGGATGATTAGTTTTTTCCATGGCTCAGAATTCGGATGATGAGTTTTTTCCACGGGTCAGAATTCGGATAATTAACTTTTTCCATGGCTCAGAATTCGGATGATTATTTTTTTCCATGGCTCAGAATTCGGATGATATTTTTTTCCATGGCGCAGAATTCGGATGATGTGTTTTTTCCATGGCTCAGAATTCGGATGATGAGTTTTTTCCATGGCTCAGAATTCGGATGATTAGTTTCTTCCATGGCGCAGAATTCGGATAATTAACTTTTTCAATGGCTCAAAATTCGGATGATGTGTTTTTCCATGGCTCAGAATTCGGATAATTAGCTTTTTCCATGGCTCAGAATTCGGTTAAGTTTTTTCCATGGCTCAGAATTCTGATGATTAGTTTTTTCCATGGCTCTGACTGACCGATAAGTTCACATTCGGTTTAACATGGCTTCTTAGACAGTGCTATGGAAATAGATCTACTTAGGCCATCCGGATTACTGCCACTGTTATAAATTTCATTCATTACGCCTGTAATCTTGTCAATGCTGAAATAGCCTAAGGCTGCTACCATCTTTATTAAGATTCCGTTTGGTCCTTCTGCTTTGTTTCTGTTAAATTTGGTCATTGCTAGTTCCACTTCAGATTTCAATATTTTTGTTCTTTTTTTATTTCTCTGTTTTGCCGGTTCGCATGAGATAACCTCTCCGATGTGTACCTTCCATCACTGAAGTATTTCTTCTTTCTCTAATATCAGTCGTCCTGGGTATGACGATAAACTACATCTGACAGCAAAGCCTCTGGTCGAGAGATTGGAGATTTCTTAATTGCTGTTATTCCCAGGTCCTCCCTGACCCGGGATGGTAGCACTTGTTAGGGTCTCAACTATGAGCAAATATTGACACCCTCCCTCACCACCACCAAGCAAAAATCAATAGCATATTTTTATAGTAATTTTAACAATACATTTTATGGTCTATAAAATATACTAAAAAACATGAAAGTTATGTACAAAATGTTTTCGGCATTAAATAACCCATAGAGATTGATATGTCGCTAAACAAAATCAACCAAATATCCAAATCGAAAAACTTTCCTGATATTAATCCATATAATATCCTAGAATTTCTTAAAGAAATGAAACCGCATTCCAAAATACAACTTCAAGAAAACTACATCATAAAACATACACATCACCGCCTATAGTAATTATGTTCACACAAATATGTATATGTACTAAAGCAGAGTATTATCTACCATGTGTCCAATTGTGAAAGCAGAATAACATATATCATATTTTTATTAATTCCAAGCTCCCCCAAAAAATTAAATTTCGACATTAAATGACCCACAAGGAGTTGATGAGCCATTAGACAAATCAATCAATCTATCTATCTAATATCAATGTCTTATCTTTGGATTTTATGCATCTTGCTGATTAGCATGTCTTCTGTCTTATTAGTTCTCTCATTTTTTATGTATATCTGCTTTATTCTTTCTATTTCTGCAAATTTTTCATTAAGCCATTCCTCTTTAGCTTGCCTGCATTTGCTCCTAATTTATTTGTGCTGAATCCTTTATTCTTGTCTGGCATAATACAGAGTCCTGTTGCTATGCATAGTAGGCACCGCCTTGATCCAGGGCAGCACTTCCTACTCAAGGTACTTGATGCATGCTACCGTATTGAGTCTGAGGCCCTGTGGGACGATAAATGGAGGCATAACGTCGCCACCCCTAGTGATTCCTCCAAATACTTTCGTAATCACCATTATACTCATCCAATTCTTTCCAAATCATCTGCCAGACACTCTACTGTTCGTATTGGAGCTTCCGGTGCGAATGTCAGTCAGTACAGCATGCTGTTTCCAAATTTCTGGCGGAGTGAATTGCATCATGGTGATCTTTTTGTCATAGACCCTACTGTGCAGTCGAAAAAATCAAATGCAAACAGCGCGCATGCGCGAAATTAAAAATATGAAATGGTAACAACTTACACATCGCACCGGGTTCTATAGCCCTGAATGGTCTACCACAGAAACAAATGACAACCAACCGCGGAAAAAAATCTGCCCCGTCAGTCATGTATCGAAAGATAAGCGTCTATCACGCATTGCACATAACTGATCCTGTCTAGTCGATTTGGTTACTCGTTTTTCCTCCAGGGCTTCTTAATGTTCATATACGTCTTAAGTTTTCTTGTAGTCAGGTGTTGGTTACTGCTTGATCATTCGCCGTGCACCATTGAACCCATCTTTCTCCGAATTCATCTTTTGGGAACATGTTCCACAATATTATTAACTGTGTATGTTACTGACGATGTACTACTGATAATGTCGTTTTTTCCAGTTCGTAATATTACGCAGTTATCAGTAACGTAAGTTCTGTTTCAATTTTGTCATTTGTAAATAAAAACACACTACAGATAACGCCTTATAAGTTAAGAATCGATTTCACACAATATTTATATTATTATCAGAACCCCCCACCCCCACTCTTTTAAATGATAAAAAATGACAAATGAAGTAGCTTGGGATGGTCTAATGAATAACAATTTAAAAAAAATTATTCACAAGATAAATGTTCTCTATTTTTTTACGAGCGGACCTCTCAATTTAAATAGTACCCTCTTTTTATTTCAAGACAGCAACCGTCTCTTTGTAAGAAAAATATTTTTTTCTATTTGCTAAAACGAACTTTTATTAGTTATTTTGACCTGTTTGTTGGTCTTACCAACGATCATCCTTCTTCAGACCTTGTGGGCTGGCCCTACAGAAAAAAAACTGCCTTATAACAGAAGCCACATCCCTTGAGGACTTTCAGTAGCAGCAACAACTAAAATGGATAGCAGATGTAACTCAAAGAGAAAACGTTGCCACTGTCATAATGTTGACGTTCCACACGACTTCAAACAAAAGGGTAGGAAGGAGACTCCAATCAGTAATGCAAAGAGCGATAACAATTAGTGAACTTGTAAAATCCTATTTTCCTGACGAATTGTTTTGAGAAATTTTATAAATTTCACATAACGGTAACACTGACTGTTCGCTCAATGAACGCCAGATATTCCCTCATAGGGAAATGGTTAATATTACCATCACTATTACCATATATTGTCTTTCTCGGTTTTGTTTTTATACCGGGATGACAATGATTACTTTTAGAAAGTTTATCATATTTTTAATGTTATTTTTTCATTGTTTAATCTTTTAAATTTATCACCGATCAGCTTTGATATGAGTTGATCGAAAAACTGTCCGCTTAAGAGGAGCTACACCACCATTTTTTTCTTTAAAGTAATTTTCAGCATGTCTCTGTTTCTTTCGATACTTAAGTTTAACGTCGCCAAGAATTTGCTTAAATGTTGTCTATCTTGTCACCATCGATCATTAATCAATTTTAATCATTTTCTTCGCAGACATTTTCCCCACTTCTTCTATCTAGCCATTATTGATCTTTCTCTAATGAACCATTTCATGTTTGGTCAAATACTGGGAACAATGCAGACGACATCTTAAAGAAAGACAAATCAATCCTGATAAGTGTAATCGTTCTGGCTTCCATCGACATTTTTTTTCTTTTCACATTCTACTTGTGAACAACAACCTTCAATTGGCAGTCACAGAGGAGCTTCCCACACGACCTGTCCACCCTACTTGTCCTCTATAACCAAATAAAGATTTCTGAGTGTGATGCAAAACACCTTCCGTCAGTATTTGATGGCTCCGGGGCGGACCATGTTTCTGGGTTAAATTAATATGCCAATCATTAATAGATGTCATGGCACTTAATGTTATGGCTGCCGTAATAGGGGAATAGAAGGAAGGAAGGAAGGAAGGAAGGAAGGAAGTGAAGAAGGAAGGAAGTAGGAAAAAAGAAAGGAGGGAATGTAGGAAGGAAGGAATGAAGGTAGGAAGGAAGGAAGGTAGGAAGGAAGGTAGGTAGGAAGGAATGAACGAAGGAAGGAAGCAAGGAAGGAAGGAAGGAAGGAAGAAAGGAAGGTAGGAAGGAAGGAAGGTAAGAAGGAAGGAAGGTAGGAAGGAAGAAAGGTAGGAAGGAAGGAAGGTAAGAAGGAAGGAAGGAAGGTAGGAAGGAAGGTAGGAAGGAAGGAAGCAAGGAAGGAAGGTAGGAAGGAAGGAAGGAAGAAAGGAAGGAAGGAAGGATGGAAGGTAAGAAGGAAGGAAGGAAAGAAGGAAGGAAGGAAGGAAGGTAGGAATGAAGGAAGCAAGGTAGGAAGGAAGGAAGGTAGGAAGGAAGGAAGCAAGGAAGGAAGGTAGGAAGAAAGGAAGGTAAGAAGGAAGAAATGAAGGTAGGAAGGAAGTAGAAAGGAAGGAAGGTAGGAAGGTATTAAGGAAGGAAGGGAGGCAGGAAGAAAGGAAGGATGGTAGGAAGGAAGGAAGAAAGGAAGGTAAAGGAAGGAAGGTATTAAGGAAAGAAGGGAGGTAGGAAGAAAGGGAGGATGGTAGGAAAGAAGGAAGAAAGAAAGGTAGGAAGGAAGGAAGGAAGGTATTAAGGAAGGAAGGAAGGAAGGTATTAAGGAAGGAAGGGAGGTAGGAAGAAAGGAAGGGTGGTAGGAAGGAAGGAAAAAAGGTAGGTATGAAGGAAAGAAGGTAAGAAGAAAGGTAGGAAGGAAGGTATTAAGGAAGGAAGGAAGGAAGGAAGGAAGCGAGATATGAAGGAAGGAAGGTAGGAAGGAAGGATTTGCTGTGTGTTTATGAATAGAACGATGAGGTACAGATAAGGATCAAGGAAGAAGGGAAAAGAAGAAAATGAATTAACGTCTGTAAAATAATGTGACACTGAAATTCGAATGCACATTGTTAATAGTAATGGTAATACTAGCTGTTTCCCTATAAGGAAATATTTAGCATTCATTGATCGAGCAGCCAGTTCTGCTTTCGGTATAGATCTATAAAATCTTTCTCTTAAAAGAGGGAAATAGGTTTTTCAAGTCCAGTAGCTGTTATCGCTCTTTCCAGTACTTATGGCGGTTTCCGTCCTAACCTTTTATTTGAAGTCATGTGGAATATCAACATCTTGATTGTATAATTATTTTCTCTTCGATATACATGTGCTATATATTTTAGTTGTTGTCGGCAGTCCTCAAGTGATGAAGCATCTATTATTTGGTACAGTTCTTCGTTTGCGATTCTGTAGCGACAGTCCACAATGTTCAAAGAAGGATGATCTTTGTCAAGAACCTCAGGCTTCATTCGTTCAAAGCCTTTTTAAAACATTGATCTTAGAAAGCGCGTTGGAACAAAGAAAGAAGCCTCCCAAAACTAAGCAAAGTATTAAGAAACAGGAAAATCTCGTTAGAACCAAAAAAGGGAGCTTAAATTCTATGTAATATTTGTCTTTCTATATGGCAGTGAATGCTGGACAATATCCACACAGATGAAAACGAGACTTGAAGCAACAGACGTGTGGTTCTACAGAAGGATGCTGAGAATAACGTAGTTGGGACATGTGAGTAACGAAGATGTTTTAAGGAAAATGGAGTAAAAACAGACGCTTATATTAGAATCAGAAAGAGACATTTGAAATTTCAGCGACATATAATCAGGAAGAAAGGCTTGGAGAATTTTGATAACCCTCAGGACATATTGAAAGCAAGAGGAACAGAGGAAAATAGGGAGCAGCCTAAGAGATTGCGTGAATGGATGTCAGAACAAGGAGGGATAATAAAAAAAATTCTACTATAATGGATAGGATGTTATGGAGAGCCATCATCGCCCACGTCATGAAGAAAAACGACCCACGGAAGAAGAATGTCGGATGAAAGTGTGTGAAGAAATAGGGGCAAACAAAGGAATAAAAAGTCAGTCTTTCACGTAGGATATACTTACCGTCTCTGAAAATTAACATTCGAAACCCTGTTTTTTTTTCTGGACTCAGTTCGCAGTTAAGAAATATCTTATCATCACATCAATGTGGCAAGCTGAGCCTATGGTCGACAATTTTACCAACTAAAGCAAGTACATTTAAGTAAAAGAAATGCATTGATAAGCATTTTATTTGGAGTCTGTCTATATTTCTGAGATGAGGTATTATGTACAGTATTTACATTAGTCGGACTATTGTCCTCATCTTTGTCGCCATATTTGTCACAACGTTTCGGCCGTTATATGCTCCGGCATTCTTCAGGTGGTTGGAATGTCTGACTGAACCCTTTATTTCGCTCACTGGGGTTGACTGTTCTAGTTCCATGTGCCATGTTTAATGGATGTCAGTTATCAGTTATCTCCTGCTAATTTTCCCTCTGAAAGTTCTCCACTGCCTTAACTCACCTTCTTTGGGTCTGTCACTGGATCTAACCAACGCCTTTATCCACTGTGCCATGTGTCCTTGAACAGTCTACCCCAGTGATCGAAATAAAGTGTTCAGTTCGAAATTCCAACCACCTGAAGAAGGCCGGAGCGTACAACGGCCGAAACGTTGTGACAAATATGGCGACAAAGATGATGACAATAGTCCGATTAATGTAAATACTGAGTATTTTATTTGTTCTAAAACTATTACATCAGAACCGGTTTATAAATCGTTAAATTACGTTTCAAACCACATTTGGGAATCAAACAACTCTAGTAACAGAACCATAAATAAAAGCATATTCCATATGTGTCGTGACCAGTGGCGATTCTGGAACTCTGAAAGTGAGGGGTCCACTTGGGGGCCATATTTTTCTACGGAGAAAGGAGTGGCAAATTCAAGCAGCGTCTTTATTTTCATACTACACGGCTACTTAGAAATGAGTTTTAGTATAAGTATGTTACTTCCCTAAATTAAACGGAATAATTTTTTATTCATAGTAGTGGAGTTCTAATCTATTCTTGCCCTCTTTTCCGCTCTCAAGCTGTTGGACCACAAGAGAGGGGTTAACTTCAAAACAAAATCAAAGGGTTAATACTAACGTCGATACTAGCAGAACAGTGTAATTTGTCTGCTCTGATTTTTTTCCTCTACAAAACTTTAAAAAGTGGTGGGGGGGTTGTCAACCGAAGAGCCAGCCAAAATTCTGAGGGGTGGGGCATTGGCCTGTTCTGCACCCCACCCCCAACCCGTAGAATCGCCAGTGGTCGTAACATGTGAAATGCCGGACCCCAGATCACTTTACAAGAATTAGATTAAACCAAAAAATACATTATTGTTGACTATCTCTGCTAGATCTTCCCAGTTGTTGTAGAGTGGTTTTCACAGTGGAGGCTTGTATTTCATTAAGTCGGTCCTAAAAGGTTCGACGTACAAAACGTTAGGACCTTGAAATAATAGTTAATGACGCAGCAATCTAGTTGTGATGGTTGATACGTTAATGTCCGACATCGATTGACTGACCAACTCACTGAGAGTATTTAGTCACCCCCACGAGAGCATCATGTGGCACAAGGCCGGTTTAACGTGGGCTCTCCGAGCCCGTGGGCTCAGCCAAAAATATGCCCTTTGAACCTGCATAAACGTGTTCAGTGTCGGTTTACCTCCCCGAAAGAGAATCCGCCCTTCGGCGTAGCCTCGTTCGGGTTCCTCCCCGCCCGAAGGCAGAGTTCAACCGGTCAGCTGGTCGTCCAACTTCAGACTGAAATCAGACCAACTCACTGAGCCCACTCGCGACTGCTACTACTACTACTACTTATTATGTGTGGGAGAGTCTATTAACAATAGAATAGGTATGTTCCGGTATAACACCAGTTATAGTGAAAATTGAAGTCAACACTTAGAGGCGACGAACTGTTTCATGGTAGACACAATCGTCAGGCTTTTATATTTACACACGCTCTACCTCTGATATTGAGCACTTTATCCCATAAATATAGCACACCTTAAGAGTATATTTCTTCATATATATATATATATATATATATATATATATATATATATATTTTAGAAAGAGAGAGTACAGGTAATCTATTGGGATATAATCCAAGTGAATCCTAATAATATAAAATATTAAAACTGATCCACAAAAAGAGTTTAATATATTTATTATAACAGAGCATATAAATTACATAAGAGAAAAATCCAAACTTACCTCATGAGTATACACTATTTCGACTAGTGTCAATGCGTTAGCTTTATTCAACTCAAATGATGAAATGTATTCAGAGTCGGAACTTGAGATTTAAAATTTAATAATCAAAAAATACCGCATTTGAAAAATTGGTACAGAGTCAACTCTATAACATATCAGACAACACAAACTGCCCGAGTGGTGGTAAGGGGAGGGCGGATGTTGCCTAGCGTAAATAGAAAGGCGCCACACAAATTCAACCCAGATATTAACCTTAACACCCCAAAAAGAAGTTTTTAAAAAAAGAAATTATTAATTATTAGTTAGGTGCAAAAATAATGACGTAATAATGTCGTTTTTTGACGTATTTTTAACGTCAAAAATCGACATTATTACGTCATTATTTTTGCACCAGCCTAATATTAATTATATTGCAAAAAGAAAAATTGTTACCACTCAAAATTACCTAAACATGCTTACAAATAAAATATAATGATTAACAATAAATCGTTTTTAGATAGCTTATATTAAAAAAAAAATATTAAAAAATGATTAAAAAAATATTAACCATTTAAAAATTTTAAAGATGCGTTAAATTATTATGAATATCAACCATACCCAGAATATAAATATATATTTAAAAAAAAAACTTTAAAAAAAAATAAAAGGATAATGGAAAAAGTAAACAAAGAGAAAGAAGTTCATAAACAAGTTGAAGGTTATAAGATAGGATTGATATGAAGAAGGCAAAATAGAAATAACTATAACTATATATTAGAAAAGTTAGATAATTAAAAAATAAAGTAAGATCAAAAAATATTATAAAAGTTTAAATCTACTCCTGTGACGCCATTTTGAGACGAATTCATTCTTTAGATTTAATAGTTTGCTTGTTGAGTTTTATTATTCTGATTTTCTCTTCTAAACATAGGTCACACCTATTCCTAAGATTATTAGGATTATGAGCAAAACCTATAATTCCTCAGTCAATCTGAAATTTCAGACCTTTCTCCCACAATTCCCAATATATATATATATATATATATATGTGTGTGTGTGTGTGTCAAATCAAAAATCGTTAATACGAAAATGTATTTTTGATATAATCTGATTCTTGTAAAAACAGAGAATGTACATTGTTCTGAAATAAATCTATGGAATAGGATGATAGTTGTATGTCCAACATACGAATTAAGAATAAATGTTCATGACTCTTAAAAGCCTTGTCGTGACATAAAAATGTACTAAATATGATTATCTTTCATTTGTCAACTGGGATTTTGAATGTATTTATCAAGGACTAGATTCAGACTGAATATTGCATTTATGTCACCCCATAAGGAATATCTTCATAACGCTATAACACCGGAGTTAAATGGAATTTTAAAAATTGAAATAACATCTGAGCTTGAATTGGAATCGAAAGCGGCAGATCGAAAGTGTTAACACAATATTTTCATTTATTCGATCTAGGTAGGCCCTCAACAATCCGTAGAAAAGGAAAGTTGTCAAAAATAGATAGATAGATAGATAGATAGATAGATAGATAGATAGATTATGAACAGGCTGAGATAGATAGATAGATAGAGAGAGAGAGAGAGAGAGAGAGAGAGAGAGATAACGACATGTATGTACATGCAGAATGAGATATGTAGATTGATAGATAGATAGATAGATATTAACAGCCTCATATATATATATATATATATATATATATATATATATATATATAAATAAAAGTAAATATATTAACAGCCTCATATATATATATATATATATATATATATAAAAGTAAATATATTAACAGACTTAGATAGATAGATAGATAGCTGGATAGATAGATAATGAATAAACAGCGACATGTATATACATGCAGAATGAGATATGTAGATTGATATTAAAAATAGATAGATATTAACAGCCTCACATATATATATATATATATATATATATATATATATATATATATATAAGGTAGATATATTAACAGACTTAGATAGATAGATAGATAGATAGATAGATAGATAGATAATGAATAGACAGAGACATATATCAGGGCATCCCATAAGTTCTGTCCGAATTTTAACTTTTTGTTAAAATGAACGAAATTTAAAGTGTGTTTTATAATGTCTAATGGAGCTGAACATTATTTTTATGTTTAGATGCATTTAAACTGATCAAATTTTATTTCAGAGAACAATAAAATTAAATTTTGTGTGATTAAAACCCTACTAACATGGAAGTACACAAGAATCATTTGAGGCTCATAATGCTTTATGAGTTCAAGAAAGGAAACTCAGCAGCCGAAGCGGCTACAAACATTCATTCAGTTTATCGAGAGGAATGTGTAAATGAAAGAATTTGCAGAAGATGGTTTGCAAAATTCAGAGGTGGAGATTTCACCCTTGAAGATGAAGATCGAACTGGACGTCCAGTTGAGTTTGATGAAAAGCTTCTTGAAGCAGTCCTTGAAGAAAATCCTGCTTTATCAGTTGGGGAATTGGCAGTGGTTCTCAGTTCAAACCATACAACTGTTCATCGTCATCTTCAACAACTTGGAAAAGTTCCTAAACTTGGAAAATGGGTGCCTCATGGGTGTCTGAAAACAACCTCAAATCCCAAGTTAACATCTGCTCTTCTCTCCATTCTCGCCAACTTGTTTCACCTATTTTGGATAGACTTGTGACTGGCGACGAAAAATGGATCTTAGACAGTGGCTTGGTAAAGAGGAAGGACCCCAGCCACAGCCGAGAAGGGAACTTCATGGGTAAAAGGTTCTTCTTTCAATCTGGTGGGATCGCCACTTTGAATTCTTACCACCTACTGCAACAATTAATGCTCAAATATACGGTCAGCAATTAGAGCGTTTGAACCAAGCTTTGAGGAAAAAAAGACCTGCTCTAGTGAATCGAAAAGAGGTGATGTTTCATCAGGACAATCCGCGACCCCACGCAGCAAGAATCACGTCACAAAAGATCGAAGAACTTGGTTGGGAGAAAATTCCTCATCCACCTTATTCTCCCGATCTTGTTCCTTCAGACTACCATTTGTTTCGTAGCTTACAGAATCATTTGGAAGAAACAGCTTTTGTAACACAGGAAGAGGTTAAAACTGACATTTGTGAGTTCTTCGAATCAAAGCCAAAAGAATTTTACAGTAATGAAATTAGTAAGCTTGTTAATAGATGGAAGGAAGTCATAGATAATCAGGGAAAATACATTGTTGATTGAATCTGTAATTAAATGTAACATTTGGTCACTTGTTTTCTTTATTTAAAATTCGGACAGAACTTGGGATGACCTGATATATACATGCAGAATGAGATATGTAGATTGATATTAAAAACTCACAGATAGATATTAACAGCCTCATATATATATATATATATATATATATATATGCAGGGGTTAGACATAATAATTGGAACACTTGTTGAATTCAAAGAAAATTTATTTAATTTGGAGTTGGTCCTCCTTTAGCCTCACATACAGCTTTAATACGGCTAGGAATGGAATCATACAGCTTCTTGACTTCATCCAGAGGAATTTTCAGCCATTCTTCCATTAACACCTGTTCCAGCTCTTTACGACACGACGGTGGAGGATAGCGGGTCCTAACTTGTTGCTCCAAAATGCACCACAAATGTTCGATATTGATATCTTGAGATTGGGGCGGCCAATCCATGTGTTCTAGCTCACTTTCATGCTCTTCATACCAATTCTTAACCACTCGAGCAGTATGTATTGGAGCATTATCGTCTTGGAAGATGCAGTCACCATCAGGGAATAAAGTCTTGGCCATTGGATGAACATGATCTACCAAAATGTTCAGGTAATCTTTGCTGTTGATTCTATCATGCAGGGCAACTATTGGACTGTGACATTTCCATGATATGGCGGCCCAAACTATCACTGATCCACCTCCATGCTTCATTGTCGGAAGAAGGCTGTCAGGGTTGTAAGCTTCTTTGGGTGCCTCCACACATAAACTCACCCTAAAGTTCTGAAAAGAGAAAAACAGGACTTGTTTGAGAATATGACTTGCTTCCATTGGTCTGCAAACCAGGCATTGTGATCTCTGCACTACTTCAACCTCTTTTGAATGTTGTGAGTGGAGAGAAGAGGTTTACTCACAGCAGCTCTTCCAAGATATCCAGCCTTATGGAGCTCACGGTGAACAGTTTTAGTAAAAACTGAACTATTCAGATGATTATTCAACTCAGCAGTCACTTTGGCCGCATTTGTCCGATGATTTTTTGCCAAATTGTGTTTCAATGCACGTCAGTCCCTGTCAGTAAGTTTACAAGTCCGGCCCGAATTGCTACGGTTGCTAGAGGTCTTGTCCTGTTTCTCGAATTGCATCAGTGTTCTTGATATGGTAGATCTTGAAAAAACAAACAGTTCAGCAAACTTAGTGATCGAGGCTCCTGCCATGCGAGCTCCAACAATTTGCTCTTTTTCGAACTCGGAGAGGTCACACATTTAGCTTAAATTTTACTAAATTCTAAAAATAAATAAGACAAAGACAGTAAATTAGATAAATAAACGTATTTACAATAGATATAACCTGCAATTACGAAGTTTTAGTTAAAGTTCTTAATATAATAGGTCTTGGAGTGGATTTTGCAACTATTCCAATTATTTTGTCCAACCCCTATATATATATATATGTGTGTGTGTGTGTGTGTGTGTGTGTGTGTGTGTGTGTGTGTGTGTGTGTGAAAAGTGTGTGTATATAAATATAAATAAATATATATATATATAATTATTTATATATTATATGCGCGGTACTTATTAGAAAGCGCTCAATATCAGAGATAGAGCTAACATATTTGGTTGGATAGATGTGAGTTTGTGACCCTGGGTTTCACGCTTTTGCGATCGTCAGACAATCACGACGACGTTCCAAGTAAAGTCTGATGATCCGCAGTCCTTTTAAAAGGGCTGTGGTGAAATAATTTATTACATGGAACCTTAAAGGGGTCGGTTTTATTTAAATTATTTGCTCTGGATTTACATTGAGCTCTCTGGATTTTATCCTCCTTAGGTTTACCCATACGGATTACCTAGTTTTTTATAAACTATATATATATATATGGGATAGATATATTGACAGACTTAGATAGATAGATAGATAGATAGATAGATAGATAGATAGATAGATAGATAGATAGATAGTAACCAACTGAACAAGTTAGGGTGAAAGAAAGAAAGATACATAGGTTGAAACTGATACAAATATGTATAATGAAAGATATAGAACACTTGAAGATTTCCGCTTGAGGATTTCAACTCTCATAAGACTACTCACTGCTCTCAGCACTGACAAAAATATTTGAAATAAAAGTACCATATATATATATATATATATATATATATATATATATATATATATATATATATATATGTGTGTGTGTGTGTGTGTGTGTGTGTGTGTGTGTGTGCCCGCGCGTATGTGTGTATGTCTTTAGGCAGCAAAGCTTCATTTATACATGTTTCATTAAAGACGACAGACAAGGTATTACGATTAAGCTAGAATTCTTTAAACACACACACAAACTTACCAGACTCCATCCGAAACATACTAGTAGAAAACACAAACATAATAACCTCCTCCACATGTGAAAAAAGATTAAAAATAATGAAAGCCTTAATAATAAAAAAGAAAAAGCCAACACTTAATAATATTAACTACGAACACGATCATAGTGTGATAACTGCGTTCGGAAAATAAAACGTCCCTATAATTTTAAAAACATACACACAATTCATAAAGCCAATTAAAAAGCAAAAAATAAAATCATCCTTGATCTTACTTATTATAATACGCAGATTGTGTATGTGTGTGTGTGTCTGTACGTTTATATATTGGATCGGATTTCCTACATTTTTCAACCGATTTCAACAAAACTTCACAGGACTACGTAAAATTACCTTGCGGTGGTTCTAACAGCACCAAAAATTGGTAAAACACAATTGTTTTTGCACGAAATCAATTTGAAAACACAATTAAGAGGCATCACGAGAATGAAAGGGGTACAAATCATATCGAGTTATACTCATTATAAAACCCAGGTTGTTTGTGTGTGTGTATGTTCGTTTATATATGGGATAGGATTTCCTACATTTTTCAACCGATTGCAACAAAACTTCACTTTTTTTTTTTTGGCAGGTAGTGTTTCTTATTGTCTTGCACACTTTTTTCTTTATTTTTATATTCAGAATGCTTTAAAAATTCCATTTACAAGACAATTGTTTATAATAAAATTCTATTCAATCGGTAGACTCATAACGATTGAAAACAATGTTTTTGTTTGAGTTTGGGTTTGACTAATTCGTAAAAAAAAAAAAAAAAAAAAAAAAAAAACTAATTAAGACATGCGTGTCCGTCAACCTTAAACAATAATCTTTGTCAATTTTATCTTTCAGTCTTTTTCGATACTTGATCTATCTCTTACTGTTACATCCCCGGGCAATGCCGGGTTCTACTGCTAGTAATGGCTAAAAGTATAGCCAAAAGCGCTTGGAATTACAGAACATTTGGACGGATTCTACACATTCTGTGTCCAGAAAAGAAAACACTTGTTCGAAGACAAGAAAAATTAAATAAAAAGCTTAATCGTAGTACCTTGTCTGTCGTTTTAATGAAACACACACACACACACACACACACACACATACATATATATATATATATATATATATATATATATATATATATATATATATATATATATATATATATATATATATATATATAGTGTAATTATTCGAACGTTATGCACGTCAGGAACAAGCCAAGCATAAAATTTCCTAGAGGCCTATTTTTTTTCTTTGCAATCTTGCACTGCATCCAATTATTTTCATAAGTTGGTAATTTTATACCTGTGTTGAATCATAAAATGAACTAGCAAGGATACCCGCTATTGTAGGGACCAAGTCCCTTTCTTTTGTTCTAATGCGCTAAGCTGTCATTTTTTTTTTTTTTTTTTATTTTTATTTTTTTTTTTTTTGGAGAGAGATTCAAGTCTACCGTCGAATGGCATGAGAGATGTTGTCATAATTAAAGATCCTTAGTTGTGATCTAAATTCTCAGGTTGTTACAAGTAGAAAATGGCTTTATTTGAATGACTAAGCAACTTATTCATAGAAGCCATTAACAGAATTATTTTCCTAGATAAAGATAACGGAAATTAGATTAGAAATGAATCACAAGAACTCAGGTAATATTTTAATTTGAGTTTTAAAGATAGATTTGCAATTTAGATATTTCTTTTAAGCGATATCGGAAGAGTTGAACAAGATATGAAGCATCCGTTTGACGTCACAGTTTGATATAATATTCGCACGCACACACGCACACACATGCTAACTGCCCCTTCTTTACACCTGCATATCTTTATATACGTGACACTCAAAGACTTTTGTAGTGTCTTGAAAATGACTTTCTCCTCGTGTACTCTACAGTACGGTGCCAGACCTGCAGATTTGATCACAAAATCTATATAAGTATCCTGCAGGTGTATCAGGAAGTACATTCGCATAGTCGGCATGAGACCGCCGATTTTCAAGTGATCTTCGATGACTAGCAAATCCGGCAGGAGATAGAACAACCTCCCTGCAGATGTTCACACATGCTCAGACTGAATATCATCTGGGATCGGGTCTCCATCATGTTTCTACATCACACACACACGCGCACATATTCACACATATACAGGGTACGATGGATAAATTGTCGTCTAAATAACGTACAAATGAAAATAATATTGACATATCATTTTAACAGATATATTTACCAAAATTACACAAAAAATATCTTGTAAAACATAAAGAGTAAATTTTTTTAAATAAAATCGCCATTAACATCAACCACGGCCTCCAGACAACTTCAGAATCTCCTGCAACTCTTCTGGACTGTCACCTTGTTTAAGTTGATAAATGCTGTCATAATTCTTGTCTTTAGTTAATCATTGTTCTTACAATGAATTTTGTTGGTCTCTCTGCCCCACATATATTAATCATGGGGGCTTCAGTCTCGGAAGTTAGGTGGCCAGATATAAGGGGTGATGTGGTTGTAGACTGGGTTCTCGTGCTAATGTGGCATAGTGCATAATCCTGTTGCCTTCCAGCAGCCAACCTCTTGACCCAGGACAGCACTACCACCTCAAGGCACTCGATGTAGGCCTCCGTGTCCGAATCTTCTGCACTATCGTCAGATTGACACCCAAACACTGAAATTCGGCGCGAATGCCAAGCAGTACAGCATGCCATTTCCAAATTTCTGGCAGAGTGAATTGCGTTATGGTGGTTCTTTTCTCACAGACGGTGACCAACAGACCCTACAATACAACGCGCATGCGTGAAATTAAAAATATATAATGGCTACAATTTATCCATCTCACTATATATATATATATATATATATATATATATATATATATATATATATATATATATATATATATTTCTTTACTTCCTTTAAATATCCGAAATTGTGTCAGCAATACTTTTGTGAAGAAAGGAAATATGTTGTATAATTTTAGACATATTTTCCGAAGAGGATGCCGGTATTAGAGCACTTTCAATAAATATTCGCCTCAAAGAATTGCTTTCTCTTTAAATCATAGAATAAAAGTGATTAAAAAATGAATGGGAGTATAGGCTAATGTACAAATCCTGGTCCAAAGAACGGCAAAATTCAAATTTAAAAGCTGCACGTCCCTGTGTCTTTAACGTTTCGATTTATACTGTAACGCGTGTTTATTGTATTTCTCTCCACGACTTTTCTTTGTCACTATATATAAGTCTGATTCCATCAATAAAACTTTTAAGTTCCTTTCTCGGAATGAAACGTGTCACTAAAGGTTTTTTTGTCATTCATTTACACACTGAGATAATCATGTTTATTCTGAAAACAAAATAACAGTCGCATTTGGGTCATATCAATTTTATTGTTGAGTGATATTTTTACGGTTTATCAACCTTTTGAAGATTATTTAAAGCCAGAAAGCATTATTAGATTTTAAGAATGTCTAGAGATAATGATTTACTGATATAAGTCATACTAATTAATCCATAGCTGGAGGGAGATGAGGTGAATTCATATAATTTTCCCAATGATATTTTGTGCGCAAGTTTATATTAACGAAGCCGACTGGAATTGAAACTCGGCTCTCCGATTTCCAATTTTGATCCGTCATCTATTTCACCACCCGCAAACCCAAGCCTAAAGCACCTAGTATTCCCAAATGTTCATCCATCTAGGTACTGACCAGGCTCGGCGTTGCTTAACTTAAGTGATCTTACGAGAACCTGTGTCTAAACGTGAAGTCTCAGTCGTATTGCGAAAACATTAACTTGCATGGCAACACCTGAATTTATGTGCCATTGTTTTTATTACTAATCAACTCTGACAGTTTTATTGTGACATTTTCCGTTGCAATCAATGGTCAGCTTCAGCAAGTATAATATGATTGTTTTCTTGGAGGCAAAAAAATGTTTCTCTTGTTTGTTTATGTCAGGCTATGCACTAAATTTATTGTGAACTTTCTGACTTACACCTTAAAACTTAAGTACTGGCAAAGACAGACATGTTATTTTGAAAGATGATTCCGACGAAGGAGTGACTTGTTTGTCGTACAGGATTGGCTCTTTGATGAAAAGAAAGGTAATGGTTCACAGTTCTTCACAGTTTCTACTGCGGTATCTATCTTGGTATTTACCTAGAACTTTGCGAGTTTGCGATGTGACAAAAGTCGATGTCTGTGTTTCTGTTTCATCGAAGTCGCAACAAACTTTTGCCTAATATCTAACCAGCATCTATTGTATGGTACATGTGGAAAAATTAATAAGAGGTGAAGCGTTATAGATTGGTTGGTTAGATGAATTTTTTTTTAGCAGCATATCAACCACTATGGGTTATTTAATTCCTAAATGTACATATTCTGTACGTAATTTTATGCTTTCAACAACGGATTTTTCTCTATATCTCTGAGATATGATTTCTTGCATTATTTACATTATTCGGACTGTTATCTTCATCTTCATTGCCATATTCACAATGTTGCGACCGTTGCATTCTCCGACCTTCTTCAGGTGATTGTATCTCTGAGATGAAGTATTATGATTACTTGCATTATTTACATTATTCGGTCTGTTATCTTCATCTTCTTTGCCATATTCACAAGGTTTCGGCCGTCGTACGCTCCGGCCTTCTGGCACGTGGAAATAGAATAACCTACCCCGGTGGACGAAATAAAGGGTTCGGTTCGAAATTCCAATTACCTGAAGAATGCCGGAGCGCACAACGGCCGAAAAGTTGTGAATGATAACAGTGCAAATAATGTAAATAACGCAAATAACATATTTTTTTACATGATTTTATACATTCAGTGTAAAGTTTTTTTTAGATATATATTTTGTAGATCATAAAATGTATTTTTGGTAATTTTACTACAAAAATGCATTTTTTTAAAATTCATATAGTCCTCATATGTTGCATTGATTGTCATTTTGATATAAAAATGTATTGTTGCTCATTTTATTATAAAATGCACTGCTGATTTTTTGTTGGATGGGGGGGGGTCACTGTTTGCCTATTGTTGGGACCCTAAAAGGTGCTACCACCCTGGGTCAACCTAGGAACAGCAGCAGTTAAGAGTATAATACGCATTTTTTTCTAAAAAGTAATTAGAAAAATCAGGAGTGCGTATTATACACAGCTACAAAAAAATCTTTAAAAAATTGCCGTAAATTAAAATAAGAATTATAATAAAACTAAATTAAAATAATATTATTCTATGTTTAAAACTGTTTTTTAAATAAGAGTAGGAAACGCTGACCGTAATGAAATTGGAGAGGTACAATTAATTTAAAAAAGAAATCAATACAAAAGTAGAGCACTAATTATTTATTATAAGTTATTATATTTGAATATTTAAGTTACCACTACAAAAATGCATATTTGTTTCGATGCCCAATTCAGACATCTCATCAGATGGTGATCAAAGATTGTTATAAACGATTTTTTTTAAATGCTAGTTATGAATCATCACTTCCTTTTATATTTTAAAAAAATTAGAAAGACATAAGAAAAATTTCCATAAAAAGAAAAGAAAGAAATATATAATTTTACCATAAAAGGAAAAGAAAGAAATACACAGGTTAAAGTAAAAAAAAAAGAAGAGGACAAGAAATCAATAATAGAAAAAAAGAAAGAAGAAAGAGAAATAGAAAGAGATAAGAAGAGAAAGACATAAGAAATCTTCCCTTCTCCAAAGAAAAGGAAAAGAAAAGGAAAGAAGACAAGAAGTAATACAGGGTGCCCCAAAATAATGTATACACTCTTTGAATCGTTATAATTTATTCAATTTATGTATTTTGACTTGTAAATAAGATTAATACAAGAGAAAGAATACATATCTAAAGAATTTGAGAGTAAAATATAAAAAAAAAACATAGAAAATTAACTTTAATAAGATAAAAGCTACTTGGATCAATGGCAGAATATTCATATAATGATGAGTTCGTGTCAAGTGCTCAAACTGGTTGGCTTTCTGTTCAATACACTTTTCATATCTTGAAGAAATAGACCTACAAACGTCCAGTATCATTTCCTCTGGTATTTGAGCACATTCTTCTTCAATTGCTACTCTCATTTCAGCAATTGTTTCAGATTTCCTGCTGTAACCTTTGTCTTTAAGAAACCCCCACAAAACGAAATTCAAGGGTGTCAAATCTGGTGATCTAGGTGGGTATTCAACTGTCCCTCTTTTTCCAATCCATCTGTTTTGAATATTTTCATCCATATAAGTTCTCACATCACGCTAATGTATTATTAACTATTAATATTTAAAGAATGTGTACATTATTTTGAGACACCCTGTATATCAAAAATTGCAAAGAAAAAGAAAAGAAAGGAAAGCAGAAGTTGTTGATGATAATTTCTCCAACGAAAAATCTTTAACGTTAAGAAGGATAGAGAAAGAATTCAAAATTTAACTGCAAATGATGGCAACTAGATAGGACATTTTTTAGAAGATACAATGTAGCAGTTCTTGAGTCATATGGCGTTTTGAAATTTATGATTTGTCTAAATCAGAGAGGACAGATATACATGGGTGATTCAGGTAGTTGAGCTTCTTCTGAGTGGGTTACGGGTCGAATAGCAGATTTAAGGCTGGGATATACCATGGATGAAGCACTCTGGAGCTTGAGTGGGTACAGACAGTTGGTTATGTGCCATGCGTGATACAGGCTTAGGCGATCATGTATCGAAAGATACATGACTAACAAGGCAGATTATTTTTTCCCGCAGTAGATTGCCATTTCTTTCTGCTGTAGACTAGTTGCCATCTAAGGCTATAAAACCCGCTTTGCCCTGCCATTTACCCATAGCTGAGAGAGAGAAGAAGGGTATAGCACGTAAGTGAATGTAAAGGATTCGACAGAAATTCGAACTCTGCTCTCTGATTCCTCAATCCGAGGCACTAACCATTATTCCACCGTACCATCTGAGTTACAGGTCGAATAGCAGATTTAAGGTTGGAATATACCACGGGTGAATCACTCTTGTGCTTCTTCTGAGTGGATTACAGGTCCAATAGCAGATTTAAGATTAAGATATTACCACGTATAAAGTATTCTCGAGCTTCTTCTGAGTGGGTTACAGGTCGAATAGCAGATTTAAGGTTAAGATATTACCACGGATAAAGCATTCTCGAGCTTCTTCTGAGCGGGTTACAGGTCAAATAGCAGATTTAAGGTTAAGATATTACCACGAATAAAGCATTCTCGAGCTTCTTCTGAGCGGGTTACAGGTCGAATAGCAGATTTAAGGTTAAGATATTACCACGGATGAAGCACTCTTCATTGTTATACCTGAAGAAAAGATGAATATGCATTAAACAAAACTCTAATCCTAATGTGTATGAAATTATAAAAAAATAGTTCGATGTGTGTCTAATAGATACAAAAGTGTCTTATTTTGTATGTCTACTAAACAAAAGTAACAGTCAATGACATGATCTTGGGGTTCGCGTCAAACCACTGGCACTCCAAATGGAAGGTTATTCAATTTTCTTTTTGACCATATTGCGAGAGAACATTGAAGCATGTTGTGCAGCAGATATGTGCTTCCCATGGTTTTTCTTGGTCGTCAAGTTTGATTCCAAAATATCCATTGTATATTTTTTAACAAGAGAGGTAGCATTTATTTTATTCTTTTAAACGTTACAGAGACACATATGTAGCAGAATTTATATGGACTATTTTTAAATTTTTCCTCTTTTAATTATTTTTATATAATCTGAAAATAAGAAATAAAAAAGTTAAATTTTGCGAAAACTTGAAAATTTACAATAAATGGTAGTTGGCAACTTACAAAAAACTGGAGTCATTTCGCAAAAAAATGAATATTATATTCATAATCTACACCCAAAACGACCCTAGAAATCTCATCTTTGTAGTCAACAAAAGTTCATTTTCTTGGAGAGTGGAATTATTGAGAAAGAAAGAAAGAAAGAAAGAAAGAAAGAAAGAAAGAAAGAAAGAAAATTATTGGAAAAGAAAAGAATGGATTAAGAATTATCGAGAAAGAAAGAAAGAAAGAAAGAAAGAAAGAAAGAAAGAAAGAAAGAAAGAAAGAAAGAAAGAAAAAAAGAAAGAAAAATTATCGGAAAAGAAAAGAATGGATTAAGAATTTTCGGAAAAGAAATAAAGAAACCAGCAAACAAACAAATAAAGATAAAGAATTCAGAAAAATACATTAAGGACCAATGTAAAATCTCCTAATGTATGACGTTCCACTAAAAGACGACATCCTAATCTGGTCTCAATTCCTTAAGCCAAATTGCTTTCTACAAAAATATTTCACAAATATTTTGCACGCAAATGCTTTTGTTACACTTGAAAATGTAATCCATATTACCTCCCTACTGATATTTTTAAGCATAGCTTCGTCTGGCACAAGGCCTCGTTAATGGTGCATCGAAGGTGATCAAATTCACTTCAGTATTATCCCTCTTTTTGCTTCCATTTTCTCTAAAACTTAGTCGCTACGAAAACAAAAAGGAAACTTATATTTAACATCACAAAGAAACAAGGCACATAATGAGGAAAGAGGGCTTGGAAAATCTAATACTCACAGGATAGATTGAGGGCAAGAGGGACAGAGGAAAATTATGCATAACATATTTAGTGAGCTTAGTTAAATAGATGAGGGAACAGGGTTTAGGAGGAGGAAGAAGATAAAATATATTAAGAACTTCAAAGAACAGGAAATTGTGAAGGTCCATGATCGTCTACGCAATTTGGTTCACACA